TATTTGAATCCAACATATCCAAATATTTAAAGGTGTCATTTGTTTTTATTTATTTGATATATTAAAATGTTTGAAAATCATGAACTAACTTTAAAGATTTCTTTAATCCGAATAAGAGCATATTTGGTGTATTACTAAATTGCATCGTTTTAATGTTTTGTCGGTTAGTATTAATATCAGTAATTAATAAATATTATATGCATATAATATAAATTTTATATAGCCTATATTTCCTTTTGCTAATATAAAGATTATATAATCAATAACAGCTATAAGTAGTGTAATATCTACTATCCGAACATACCTACATGTTTGTATATATAGGTAGTATTATTTTTTCGCTTAATATTGTTTAAATGAGCACTTTACTAATGCTACATATTAAATGTTCATCCATTGTAATTTTGTAAATTATTATAAAGTCATCATATTTCCATTTCATAACAGTATTTATATAAATATTAGGTAGGTAATTAAATTTGCTGTTTTAGATTTACTTAAAGTCAGACAAATTAAAATATTGTAACTACCTTAAAATTTGTCTCTTTTGTATGTTTTATAGTAGTATTTTATATTCCTTGCCTGTGTGCTTTTTTAACATCTATTTACTGCTACTAACTATCTACCAATTTTCGATAACGAATGTATTTCCTTAAGTTAATAAGTTATTATTATGTTTCTAATAATACCGTATAAAACAAAAGTATATAATAATAATAGAGTAGTGTGATGCCGATGCCATCAACACCGCAATATTGTTAATCAATATATAATGTTGATAATAGCTATATTACAAACAAACAAAATTTATATTATGACCATAAGTCAAAATAACATACATGTACTTAAGGATTAATAACCGTTAATAAGTACAATTATATATATTTATATGTAATTAGAATTAACATGTCGAAATATTATATTAGTGAATATATTTTAAGACCACTTCATTTAAAGTAAAATAATTATAGATCATCTGGATGATCCATATAATGAATCAACCAGAGGATAATATTTAGTTCATGGAAAGACGAACACGTCTAGACATTGTAATCAGTTACATTTTGATTAAACACATTATAGATATAATTTTTAATATAGATAATAGTGTTTAATAATTGACCAGAATTATTGTGATGTAAATCAAAAGTTATAATCGTTTTGAGGTGACGAGTCTGTTAAATATAAAGGCCAAACATGGTTTTTAGAACGATTTATTATGCATAAAATATATTTATTGATATAAATTAAAGAAAAGAGTTAATTTTTCTATAATAAATATAAATAACTAATTATTTGTTATTAAAAAAATTTTTAAAATGAACTTTTTTATTGAATTGACTGAACAAGGAAAATAACAATAAATATATAAATACATAATCAATTAATAATTGATAGTTATTAAAAATTAAAATAATAAATATATATATATATATTAATAAAATATATTCAAAATTATATATTAATTTTGATAACATCTATTTTGATTATACGTTGGTTTTAAAATAACTTAAGATTGTCTTATTTATAGTTATTAATAATTCAATTCCTACCAGTGAGACCTTAAATACAAATAATTCCTAAAAATCTGTTTCGTCTTTAATTTCTAGGCTGTGGCATATTAGATCGCAACGAACCCGATCTACTGCCCGTCGCAAATACTGTAACGCTTTTTTTGTGTGTGCACTACTCACACATAAACAACTACCGTGTAGATATAAGCTTTTACTAACGCATTTATGGTGTCGAATTTCGACTCCTCAAGATCGATTTTATTTAATATTTATTTTATACTGTTTTTGCGTATAATTATATAATATATCTTCTATTTACAATTATTTTGTTTATCATATATCTAGTTTATAGTAATTTATTCTGTTTAGTTAATGAAATAAAGTCTCAAAACGAATTGTTTTAAAATCAAATACTACCTTTGAACTAAATATTTTTAATATACATATGGGTATAGGTGAACCGTCACAAGTTTTTGTATAATTTTTATACCTATCAGGTGTTAAAGAAAATATGTTTTTCTTCATTGCTGTCCAAAAGGCCTCGATCAAAACACGAGCTTTACCTCTAAACAGGAGTAGGTAAATGGTAAATATTGGGGAAAATTTTCTAGCTGAAAATATTTTTGAAATTTAATTTGTTCTGGAAAAAAAATATAGATATTTCTTATTTTCATATTCTAATATGATTGTTTCAGGAATCACTGCCAGTGTCCGGACATATGAAATGATTAATTAAGTAAAAAAATAACTTTGCAGTAAATATTATTATTGTAATAAAATATTCCATTTAAATGTTTAAAGGTCACACTTCGAATGATCGTGAAAGTAATAATAAAAAAAAGTTTTTTTTCGATTGGTTTCTTCTGAGAGGAGCTTAAATTTTTCGAAAGTATTATGATACATACTCGTATATAGATATCTGTCTTTTTCTATAAAATTAAAGAAGCTTCAATATGCCTGATTCTTAAATATGTAGAGTAATAACAATAATTTATAGCCATCATAAAATCTATAGACTTATGAATACCTACATAGTCTACTACTTACTAGTACGTAGTACTTACTACGTAGCTAGTAATATGAAGTAGTATTTGTCATTGCCGTAGACACTCTACCGCGACTCCGGCGACGTTGGTCCGCCCTGTAAATGATGTAGGACATACTCCATCTCTTTATTAGGCGACCTATTTAAACCTAGTATACTTACGACCTTAGCCATCTCTTAGTTTATCAGTCTTGCGACCTTAATCTGTTTCATTACCTGCCAACAATTGTCCAAAAACATCGAATAATATTAATAATGTCCGGATTGTTAAAAATACATTTGACAACAATGTATCTATAGTAACTAATCTGGCGACGGCCTACTAACATTAAAATAAAATGATAGTTTGAAATATATTTCATATATAACCAAATATCTAGTATAGTAATAAATCCGTGATAATAATAAATAGTGACAATTTTGGTTTAAATGCCAATAATTTTGTACTTGTATGTACTTTTATCTACGTAAAAATATTAAAATGTTGTTCCTAAATACGCTGTATCGGTTATAGTTTCAAATTAAAAATAAAGAGAGAAAGTGTCACAACCGACCACACCCCAAAGACAGTTGTGACAGTCATCATCATCATCATCGCAGCCCGGGAGACGTCCACTGCTGGACATAGGCCTCCCCCAAAGATCTCCACGACGATCGGTGTGATCAGTTCCCGCGATCTTGACCAGATCGTCGGTCCACCTTGCTGGAGGTTCCCACGCTGCGTCTTCCGGTCCGTGGTCGCCACTCGTTTACTGCCCCAACGTGACAGAGTTGTGACAGTAGTTGGGGTCAGTAGTGACAGACGTATATATACACAGAATTGATTTATACTTACTTTTATTGTTAGAAATATGTAACTTAACACAACATAAATGTCTTCTATAAAAAGTTAACATTGATAAATAATTAAAGCAAATGAACTACGACCACTTCTATTGCTACAATTAATAAGGCACTGCAACATCTTATGTTGTTCGTAAAGAAGTCCTGCGTTTCACTTCTATAAGCATTTTAATATTTGATTATCTAGGCCGCGCTCTTTAGGACTTTCGCAAGCAATTTCTGGGCATCTAAAAGAATATATATATATATATATATATATATATAACAACCGTACCCACAACATTTATCTCAACCGTACCCAACGTACACTTACGAAAACTAAAACTCGCCATGATTTGGCCAAGTAATCTACGTAAAAACTAATCACTAGTAATTAACCACTAATATTCAACTTATAACAAAAAAATATATGGTATAATCTATCTATATACAAATGTCAGTAAATATTGAAAGAACCCAAACAAAAAAAACTTACTTTGGGCTGTTAAAAAGCTATGAACACTCCTACTGACGTTAGTATCGTGCTCTGGCTGACGCAATATAGGGGAGACGCAATATAGAGGCGTTAAGACTTAAATACCGCTTCTCCATTCCCTTGAACCCTTCCCAGCATTCGCAGTAGTTTTGATGTTATGACGACTGTCACTACTGTACCTTGGCACAATCATACCCAGTCTACCCTATTACAAATTGTAAATCAATCGGAAATCTGTATCTAAAGAAAACAATAAAAAAAACATACGATAATAAATGGAATAATTAATAGAGTATTGGGATAAATTGAAACATTTGGTTAAATAGAGTATATGATAAAACAATAAAATAAATACCCTGAATAATGTCCGTATATTTTGTGAGTATAACTATAATGTTTTACCACTCACTTTTATTCACAGAATTTTGTAAAAGCCGATTGTGGGGACAAAACACAAATACTTTGGTGTAAAGGAAGAACCACCAGCTGAGTCCACCTGACCAGCATCTCTCAAGACCATTGGTACTTCTGTACTCAGCAATAACATAATAATTGATAATTAGTATGATAATAAAGATATATAGTATCCGTATTTTTTGTATCAATTTCATTCATAGTGGTTTTCTCTTTTTAGTTGATTTATTTACCCCGTAAGTACTTATTACTAAATACTTACTAATATAACTATACGTACTTAGCTACTAAATCCTCGTAAACAGTTGATATAATATTGAAAGTAAAAGTACTTACAAATACGTTTTGTAATGCTTATCTAACAATAAAAACTAACTATAAACTTCGACATTATTTCATGTTATTTGCTGTTTGCCATTGCCGTTACCAAGAATTTTGCAACGGCGTCGAAATATCGGGAGCTTTTTAATAATATAATTATGGTAAAAATCTCGTTTATATAATGTGTACATGTGAAAACAGTGTTTATTCCACATTGAATTTATGTCCAGGTTGTGTAGGTTCTGTATTAAAATAGCTAATAGATATCGTAGATAATGTAGTTTTAGATCTAGGAGCGGATAGGAACCATAAGAAAAAGCTTTTTGTACTCTACACCAGTTAATATGTATTTGAAATTAAATTCCAATTCCAAGTTTATCCAGGTAGATTGTAAAAAGACGTCTGCGTGGATACCTCAGTCTCACTCATTCAGTCGCTAAGCAGCTTGCTTTATTTCTGTGTTTCCGTTGTAGCATGTAGATTGGACAGGAAAATTTGGGGATAAGGACGTGGTGTCGCGAGTGTCACATGATAAATTCTTTTAGGGAGAGCTTATCATCTAAATCTGTAATCATATCACCTCATTATATAAAACAAATCGTTTCTAACTTTATATATTTAACCTTTTAGCTGTTGTTTCAGTTTGATGTCCCCAAAGAGTCGAACTATTTTTATATTATCGGCTGTCAAATATAGTTCGCCTATAGCGCGTGCTCGCACATCCAACGACGCCCAGGTGAATGGTAAGTAATACGGAAAATTTTCTAAATGAACCTCAATATTTTTTATACTTATTTTACCCTGTAACGAAAATATTTTCATGTATAAGAGCTATGGAAAGATTAAAAATCATATTTCTGAAATATATATTATTTAATAGAATATTTTACGAAGTTAGGGGTCAGGCATAAATATGTTGCTCATTAAGAGAAATGATCGATAAAGTGAGATACTGTATCATAACGTCATATTATAAAATATACAATTTAATAATATGTTTTAAACGAAAAATAAAAAATATAAAACTAATTTCGTAACTGATTGTTTATTAATCTAATATTTTATAGAAGTTATGTGACGTCACTACTAGGGAAGGATTCCAGTGATTTAACGTGTGGATGCCCCCTTATTTACGACGTAGATATAGTTATAAATATCTATCTATATAAAACTCACTGATCGTATTGGACATGACACATCTTTTGGAAATTGTCTGTATAGCATTTTACCAACGAATGGTTCATTTAGTAAAAAATTACACATTGTTATATTCATTAGTACAGGTGTTTGAAGAAGTCGACCGCTACTAATTTCCCATAATGATAATACCATCTACAAAATAAATCAATACATAATTTAAATTAATCCCTTAAATCATAAAATAATATCATAATATAAAAGAAGTACTTACCGTAAAATTGTCTCCAAACACATAGTCTGACTCATATTCTAAATTGAAATTATAAGGGCCTCGACGACTTGTTTTCCTTATACTAATAGTTATAGTACTAATATATTTCTTATTATAATATTCCACTACTACTCTTTCAGGTATAATTTCGAGACCCTGTAATTAAGCAGTTTATTAATTACAGAGAATATACTTCAGCGTTACATTTATTAAAATAATAACATTTTTTTTTAGAAAATATAGTATATACCAATAGAACTCCAATAATACTAAAAAAAATCAATAAAAGAGGCATGTCTTCAATTTCAGAAACTAAATTTTATAATCGCCTAAACGATAAATCAAATTAAAATTCTATTAGCGAAAACAATTTATGTAAAATAATATAAATAAAAATTTGAATGGTTTTCAAACAGTTCGAGAATGTATGATGAAATGAATTTGTGCGTAACAAAACATCGTATTTATACAAGTACAATGGCCATTATGATAAATATGTTGTTCTGTTGGATTTATAGTATAATGCGCCTGCATTAATTATACCTCAAAAATCAAGTAATGAAACTACCAATCAAATATGCTTTTGCCCATGAGTTTAATCTCAATTTAACAAAGAAATTTGTTTTAATTTATTATTTATTGTTATTTTTATAATTATTATTTACATTTACTTAAATAAAAGCTGGTCCGGTTATCGAAAAAATGGACTTTATCAGTAGTAATTTATAATCGGAATCCTTAATATAATCCTCAATTCGGAATATCATGTTTTATTTTGAATCAGTATAGTCAAGATAATTATAAATTCTTACTTCCTTATTATTAATAATATTATTAAAGCGACAGTAACTCTGTCTGTCTCGTTTTCACACCAAAACTACTGAACCGAATTAAATGTAATTTGGTACACAGATCGTCTAGACTCATAGGCTACTATTTAAAGCTAGAAGCTTGATAGTTCTTTTTTAGGCTGTTGATTAAATATAAATAAATATGACATTCAAAGTCTGTGAAACTTTTACCCTTAAGGAGGTAAAATAAAATAGGGGATGAAAGTTTATATGGAAATCGACATTTTTGAAGCTAGAATGATGCATCTTTTTTCTTTTTTTTTATTATAATTAGCCTAAATAATTAAAAATGCTATCCAAGGTCAACGTAGTCGCAGGCACAGCTAATATAAAATATTTTATAAAAGTTAATGCATGACTATTATATAGACATTACATGCTACCTACATTTTTTCTTTAAAATTGTGTAGTTCCAGAATTCATCCCGTATAACAATCGTGACGGCAGATTTTTATGTATATGAATATATTTATAATAAGCAGGACACGGAAATTTTAGCAGTGCAACATATAACTATAAAAGTGCAGTATTCCCAGCATATATAGTTTTTTTTATATATCAAACGATTTAGCGTTGTCGTCAGTGTTTTCGACGAAACCTCCTTGATTTGTTTTTTTTTGTTTTCTTCCGATTCTACCAAATATCGTGACATTTCTAACCTATTTACTGAAAAAATTGGAGAATTATACACTTAAACCTTCCTAATAAGTTACTCTATTAATAAATGATAACTCAAAGAAAAGCCGCCCAAAAAAAGTAATTTCTGAGACAGTTGCGATTTTATAAAAAGACGCGGCTCTGTTTTGATACTGACCTAGCAGTTCCGGCTACTGCGGCAGTTTCAAGGACTCCCAAGCCTTTAATGTTCTTATATATAAGTAACATACCCTAGCCTATTTATATATAAAACTTCGTATACTTGAATGTATAGGTACATATTACATTATTTTACCGAGGTAGACTTTATAACTACGAAGTCGTCTGCAAGGAATGCACTGTCTGGTCTATTTCAGTCACCAAGTAGCTTATATTGTAATATTAGTTGAATTTGGAAGGTATAGCAGTTAGATCACAAGAGAAGGAGGCATACGGAGCCATTCATTCATTCATAATTTAAGAGCTGTGCTCTTGTCGGTGGAGATCCTGCCACCCTCCTATTTCATGCTATTTATTTAATTAGGAAATTATTTATTTATTCATTTGCACACAAAATTGTATACATGTGGATGCCTGATGGCATTCTCTACCAGTCAACCGTCGCGTTGATCAGAGATAGTATAGCGGTGCAATTGAAGTATAAAATAGATTAATACAGATATTATATATATATATATATATATATATATATATATATATATATTTTATTTTTATTTATTTATTTTTAATTCGGAATTACATCCATATAGTGTTAGTAAAAAACTTATAAAACTATGTTAGTAACTTATAATATACATATACGTAGATAAATTTAATTCATTCGCAATGTACCTGTGTCCACGTCCAGAAGCACTGGGTCCACAATGCAACGTTATCCAGTGCCTCTGGATACTTATTTTTAATCCGCGGACAATCAGGTATATTAGCAACAGTTTTTAGGATGCTGTTTGAGCTCCCCCGAATTCTGGACATCAGTGATGCAGCTCTTTTACGCATTATGGCTTGAAATCCATCTACCCTCGCTGCTGCAAACATCTCTGATGCGCTACAGAACCGGGGGAGCCCCAACAACATCCTAAACCCATTATTATACTGTATACGAAGAGCGTTGTATGCCCTCTGCGTATACCCAAACCATAGGCCGCACGTGTAAAACGACTGACAATACGCTTTAAACAACGTTGTCTTCACGTCGTTATTACACCGTGCAAACCTACGGGCCAGCATATTACATCGGACCGACAACGCTCTTCGTTCCCTCTCTATGTCATAGTCATCATTCAAGTCCCCCGATACAATGTGACCCAGGTATTTAAACCGCGACACCCGATTCAATGGTGTGCCATAAAGACATACCGCCGGCATACTTCTCTGTGTGCTATTTTTGCCATGAAATATCATGACCTCGCTCTTTTTAACATTGTATCGGAGGCCATGTGACTCCGCATATTCTTCACACGTCTTCAGCAGTCGACGAAGTGCACTAATCGATGGACTCAGCAGCACCATATCGTCCGCGTAACTTATACTGTTAATCATGTTTCCATGTATGGAGCATCCGATCCTGGCACTGCTAAGCCCATCAATCAGGTCATTCACATATAAACTGAAGAGTGCAGGAGAAGACAGTCCCCCTGTCTCACCCCACACCTCAACCTATACTCTTCCGAGAACGAACCCGACCATTTGACCTGGTTAACTTGATGATCATACCAATACTTAAATAAATCAACCAGCTGACAAGGTACAGCTTGGCGATGCATTTTTGACCATAATATATCATAATTAACTAGGTCAAACGCCCTGGAAAGATCCAAGAAAACTGCATAGACAGGTGTACTTCTATCAGTATAATACCTGACCGTGTCCTTGAGCGCCATAATAGCCGTCTCCGTCGACAGTCCTGGCTGAAAACCGAACTGCGCATCGTGTATATTAAAATATTTGCCTACTCGTCTCTCAAGAACACCGTCAAGCACCTTCGCAGCAATAGTAGCCAACGATATGGGTCTATAGTTCTCTTTATTTGAGAGATCGCCAGTCTTATTCTTTGCTATGGGTACAACAATAGTCCTCATTAATGCATTCGGAAGATAAGAATGCTGTACACACAGATTATATAATGCAGTTAATACCCTCAGGAGTTGCGGACCTGCACACTGGAAATGCTCTACACTAAGTGAATCGTGACCCGGCGATTTACCTCTTGTCATTGATTTTATAACGTACTTTATTTCGTCCGTAGAGAACTGTACTGGTACCCTTGACTTAGTGCTCCTAGCACATTCCGACCGCGTACTGGGTTGTAGTACTGGATCCACCTTAAAATGATTCATAAACAAATCCGCAATATCCTTTGGGTAACCCAAAGGATATTGCGATACTTATGCTATTGACGCTCACAGGAATGGAAGGTTTAGGGCTGAGTTTCTGAGTTAACTTCCAGAATCTCTTAAAATTCTTACCCTTATGCTCTGCGCCTAAAATATCCAACTTAATTTGTTCCGCATTATTTTGACAAAATTTTAATTTTTCTTTAAATGTTTTACCTTTTTCCCTCATAGTTACATACAGAGGCCCGCATCGTGGCTCTCCATAGAACTTCCAGTTAATAAAAGCCTGCCTCGCCTGCCTATGAGCGTCCCTAACATATTTATTCCAGCCAGGCACAGCATGCCTTCTCCATACGCTTTTTTCTGAGTTGCCACTAAGGATAGCCGCTTTTCGAATTAATGAAATCATATTATTATAGAAAATATCAATTGACTGTCTATGTCCTTCGTTGCAACATAAGCTATATATATATATATATATATATATATATATATATATATATATATATATATATATATATATATATATATAAACGTATAAATATACATCTAAAATTATATAATTACATATATAAGCGATAATTTAGTGTGGTAGTTGCCCAATTGCCTTCCATACCGTGGTTCAGCGGCCGGTGGGACTTGCCCGCTCATACCTGGTCAATGGCCCTTCCAAAAATTATTTCTTCGGCTCCTTGCCAGTACTAGCGCCGCCACTGCCCGACACTACGGGAGGACCTCTTTAATGGCGGTCTTTTGTAGAAAGGTTCACCTCCATGAACCGTTTTACCACGTCCTGGTAACGCTTCCGCTGTTTGGTCGGGGACTGCTTATTGAACCTATTCGCAGCTCATATATCTGACGACTGTATACTATCCGCCACCTGTGACCCCGTTGGTAGTCTACAGCTCAACCCGAATATACAGAGGCGCTCATCCAAAATGTCAGTACATGAGGAACCAGTTGTCACAAGATAACGTGATGTCGGTGATCCTGTTCTTGTATATAGCAAATGTGATAGGCTTACAAACAGGAGAACCGGCGATACATTCCTCATTTCAGTTATATAGAAAAACTTAATATGAAAATTGTATTTATTACAAGTTTACGTAGTAGTTTATTAACATATAATTTATTAAAAGTTTACGATTTCTTGTTGTTTTTTACATAATTAATACAAACAATCACTAATGATAAAATATCAGTAAATACCTTACTATTTTATGGTTAAACATAAATTTAGAATTAAATGGCAAAATAAGTCAGTCATAGTATGTAATATTATCTTATCTGTAGTTATAGTGACCAGAGTAGGCAACTGTAAAATATTCTTGAATCATTCACAAATGTAAATGCTGAGTTT